GTCTCACTCTTGCACGTTGTGTCCTTCAATAAAAGCATCAAATACTTCATTTTAGAATTACTAGCCACAGTGGGCTTCCTAGAGGCTGGCTACTGATTGCTTGCCTTAGCTTAAGTTGCATTTAATAAGTTAATAAGGAAAATGTGTTTTCTTTATAGCTTTTTTGAAAGTCTTGAATATTCTAACCTGCTGGCCTCTTCCCTTGTGATCTGTTCCTCTTGCACAGGTTGTGTGCCACAGTCCTCCTTCTAATCTTTGCATACGTGTGTGACTTACAATTTGTAGTAGCCGTTGTGTTTTACAGTATGGTGACTGTGATGTGATCTATTAATACATTGTATTTGTTCACAATCACAAAGACAAGATGCCAACATGTTTGTAAAGCTCTTGGAAAAGGGATTTAAACATTTAGTGTGTCGTGATACTGGTAAATGCAAAGTGGTGTTGAGAAAAACATGACTTGGCCAGGTTTATTTGGAAGGTGTACTGCTGAGGACTTAAACTCAAGTATTTCTGCACCGTGTTTCAGCTTCTTTTCTCATACTCTAGTTTAGCAGAGCACAAAGATACGAGAATGAAGACTCAAAAAAGAAATGGATTTTTTTGTTTGTTTGTTTTTTGGTCAGGCATGACATAAGTAAACATTTTGAAACAAAAATATCTAAATCCCCAAGCAGCTATTATTTTCTCAAGTACCTGTGTTGCAATTTCATTTTTCCTTAATAGCCGTTGTTCCAGACTTTGTTTCTCGTAGGCTTCATTTTTATGAGGACAGATGTTAGGTTTTCGATTGCGCTTCGGGGAAGGAAAAAGATGAACTCTTTGAAAGTAGAGGTGAAAGACTGAGTATTAGGAAAAAGGCTGTTTTCTAACTGTAACTCTGTGTTGTTTACTATTATTTGGGGGCATTGCTGTCTCTTACCATTAGCGGGGAGTGCCCATTCCCTTTGAGTCTCGGGTAACGTTTTGGCCCTGGCATTATTCTCGCATTAATCTCCAACCCCTCTTTCTGTTTTCTACTGATGTGCATCTGTTGCCTTGTGTAGCCATCCATGGGTAGTGCCTTTGGTCTGAAGTCATCGCACTGAGTCTATTACCCATTGAGAACACACTTTTGATTTAATGGGGACTTAGTTGTGTGACAGATGCACGTAAGTAGGCATCGCAAGAAGTGGTTTGGGCGTGCACATGTAAGAGAGCACTGAGTGAATATATTCAACTGTACACTCTCGCTTGGGTCCTGCTGTCTCTAGCTTGCTAGAAGATAAAATCAAAGGGGTTCTCTATTAAAATTTCAGTGCTCTTGGATGACAAAAAGGAAAGAAAATGCCTTGTTTCATCTTTCAGCCATTTTTCATTATCTGGTTCCAAAGATTGGTGTGAAAAATAGTAGATTGTGAAATGCAGCTTGATTTTTTTTGTTTGCAGTGATGTTTCTTAATGAACGCTGTTGCATTCCTAGGACCTTTCCCAAAGGTCTGTAGGAGCTGTTTGAGTGTACTGTATGCAGAATTGCTTTCCCATTCTGTATTTCTGGAGAGCTTGCTTGGTACCTTCTTGCTAAGGAGTCCCCTTTATGTGATTTGCTCGGCCTCTCTGGGTGGGATGTATCGCAAACTGTATCCATCTAAATCAGTACTGCTGTATTTCCTCCTCCTCAGCGCTAGTGCTCACCCAGTCCCCTGCAGAGCTGATGGAGCTAGCTAATCCAGATAAAAACCCAAAACAACAACAAAAAAGTTCAGCCTTTTATTAGGTTGGCCTTCTGTCAGGTTACCAAGTCGGACTGGCTTATCTCAGGGCCAAATACCAGCCTGGCTGTATTTGGGCAGCAGGAGGGTTTGTGCCTACCAGGGCGGGTGGCGAAATTGCAGCAGCTCCCCTTCACTCGCGTTGGCTTGAACTCCTTGCCAAACTGTATCCCCTCAGTTCCTTTGGGCCAGCTTGAGTAAATAATTATTCATAAAGTACAGCATCTATTTCACGTGCCAGTATGCTCTTCATCTATTGCACTGTATTCACATAGTGCTTCTCTTAGGTTAATGTTGTAAAGGTTTATGAATCATAGAATCATAGAATGGTTAGAGTTGGAGGGGACCTTAAAGATCATTGATTTCCAACCCCCTGCCCTGGGCAGGGACACCTTCCACCAGACCGGGTTGCTCAAAGCCCTGTTCAACCTGGTCTTGAACACCTCCAGGGGTGATAGGCATATATTCTTTGCCACTGGCATTTCGACCCATACCCTCAAATGGCATATGATTGGGTTTTGTGTTTATGCTTACTGAAGCAAAAATGCACACCATTAGAGGAGCTGATCAGCTGACCAGTCTGTTCATCAATCAGAAGATCTTTGGAGTGGTACTCTTTAAAGAAAACCTAACAGATGTATGTCTGAATGAAGAAGTTCTTTTCATAGCATGTGTATTTTTATGAAATGTTGCTACACACGTTACTGTACTTTAAAAAGAGCTTGGTTGTTCATGGACTTGCAGCAATATCACAACTCTAATGTTAGTACTAGCTTTTAGTACCTACTCAGTTCAGAAACTCTTGAAGTGTAGAGAGTATTGAGGTTTGGAATTTATACTGCTCACAACTGTTATTGGATATAAAAAGCTGTTGTTTAAAAACACACACACACACACCCCTCCCTAAAACTGGCAGTTTGTTTATATCTTGACTTAACACTTTTTACATAATTTTGAAAGAATTTGAGTGTTGGCGAAATGTTCCCCTGGCACCTCTCAATGGGGAAGAAAGGATGTTTTACAGTCATTATAGTATTGGGTTTGAGCTTCGGGTTCAGCTCATCCTTATTTTAAGTGATATATTGAATCTCAGTGTAACCTTAATAAAGACAAGTATATAGAACTAGTCTTTGAAGTGTGTTTAGAGAATACTAGAGATGTATTGATTTAGCTGTAGAATTAAGATCGTTTTAAAGCCTATGTAAAATAGCTTCATTTGCGTGTTAACGTTCATAAAGGTTTAAAGAAATTGTAAAAGGAAAAAGCAGTGCAACTTTCTGACTATAGATAAAAACTGGTCTGATGATGTTTTCTCAGTACTTATCTTTTCTTTCTCAACAACTGTTGGGTGTAATGAGAGGAAGAGAGAGAAAATGGAACAATTAATGCACCATATGTACAAAACAAAAAAAACCACTCTGTAGGTGTTATACTGAACAAGAATTTGTTTTAGTCCCATCTATTTTTATTTTTTTTATGTAGACAGCATTTAGTCATTTGCATTGCATTTTGAAAGACTTGTACCCAGTAATGGGTACTTGCTGTTTGTTGTTGTTTTTTCTTTTAAGCTATATATATATATATATCTAGGATATATAGAGATATCTACAAGAAAGCTTGTATCTTTCAGAAACTCTTACTTTCTTGCAGAAAACATTATATGAGACTGTGCAGTTTAACCTTACATATGTATATGAGGTGATTAGAAATCCATCCATTATCAAGCAACAAAATTACACTACATCTTAATGATTTGGGGTTGGTTTTTTTCTAGAAGAAATAAGCAGCTTCCCCTTCAAATCTTGCTAGGACAGCAGCTGCAGATGAGAATGAGCTTCCATATTTAATACATTCTATTAACTTCACACATACAGACACACACTCGTTCACTCACGCACCCCAGTGTCACCTTATAGGTGAACAGGCCCTAATTAAAAGCACGCACCATCTGCTGGTGTGTGGCAGCAGGGTGGCACTCCATAACCGTCCTGATTCCTGTGATTGAAATGTATTATTTATGAGCTCAAAGAGAAAATATGCTGCTTGGCTGGTGGAGGCTGCATTTGGAGCTGGATAGCACCATCTAACGGTACAGGATGCCACTGGCTGTTCATCTTTCCTCTTCTTCCTCTCCCCTCCTCAGTCTCCTCCCCCAGAATTTTTATTTTTTAACATGGTCTTTGGAGGTTTTTTTATGATTGTGTTTTAGACAATTTTCTGTCTGCTGTTTCACTTTTATACAAGATTGAAAATGATTGCTGAAATATTACACTATTTGGGGTGTTTGCAGCAGCCTTTTTTTCCTTCCAGCGCCACACATAGGGTTTTACTTCCTGTAGTAAAGATGATACTGGTGTGATGTGGTGGCAGAGAAGTGGGACGTTATCAAGACAGTTGAGCAGGATCAGTTTACTGACATTTCTCCTTCCCCTCCCAAGCATGCATGTAATGAAAGTATTTGCTGCTCAGTCTGCAAAATTTATTTTAATATCGAAATTGGCCCTATTTTTTTATCGAGCAGTACACTACAGACTGCATAAAGGGTCTTTACTGGGTTGAAAAGAAAGGGGAGAGATTCAGAGACAGCTGCAGCTTTCCTCTCTGAAAGCAGAGATCATAACCTCTTCCTGCTTGCAGAGATTGTGTCCTGTTATTTCTTCTTAGTGGAGAAACGGATGAGAAGGTGTTGGACTGAGGGGTGAAACACACTTTTTCAGGAGAGGAAGGGGTGACAAGGAAGGAGCCCTTGTTGTTATCCATCAGCCTATCTTTGTTGACTGCTAAATTGCAAAGTCTATATTTATTGCGTAATGTATTTAGATGTTGGCTTATTGACCTTTAGAGTATGAAGAATAACAGTAGTTGAACTGACTCAAAATAATTTGGGGGCTGTGTTTTTGGTTCTTAGGCTTTTTGTAATGTTCTTGAGCTTTGCAGTATGGATGCTGGGCATCCAACAATATGTTTACAGCAATAATAAGCCGTAAGTACTGAACTGATATGTGAAATATGAAACTTTTGTACAATAACTTCCAGCAAAACCACTATTTTAATTAAAGAATCTGGTCACTGTTTTAACTCAGGCAAGACAAGACCCTAAATAAAAACATTTATATATAAAACTGGGCAAAATATGTATGTGTGTGTATGCATATTTATTTTTAAAAATCATCATGTTTTAAAGAATGTTGAAATACCATGAACTGTGACACATTGGTGAATACACGTCTTTTTATTGTTTGTGTTTAGAACGTATGCCATCAGAAGAATAAGAGATGCCTTCAGAGAAAACAAGAATATAAAGGATTCTGAAAAAATAGAAGAACTAGTGAATAAAGCCAAAGCAAACCTAGAAGTTATTCATCGGCAGGTATGTTTATTTCTCTCATCATATTTAAGAGTTGTACACTCCTCAGTTAACTCTCTTATGCCACTACAGGTTGAAAAAAATAGATCCTTGATCAAAATATCTCTGGATAAACAATATTTTTTGTACATCTGAGTTTGAAAGGGTGGGAAATATTTGTTTATCCCTGATGGTTGCAATAGAAGACTTAGGGATGTTTGTTCCATTAGCTGGACCAGACCTTGCTGTCAGAAGTTTATGTGCTCTTCCATTACCTTTTCTGCTGTTTTACTATCTCTTCACTGTTTCTCTGTTCTGCCCTAATTTTCCTTTGAATCTGTTTCCTCTAGCTCACATGTATTGTATTCCTTTCCTCATGCTTTCCTCCTTCCACCACAGGTTTAGAAGAGTGGCTGTGACAGTCACTCCGGAGAGTCTTGCCTTCTGTGTTTGTTCTTCCCCACCTCCAGATACAGTGTTAGAATAGTAGCAGAACAAGAAAATCCTGAAGTGAATTAAGTAAATGCTGGCTAAATGCTACCAGCGTGATAGATTTTCCTTTGGGGGAAGTTGAGTCACTGGTAGTATTTTTCTCTGACCTTGTCTGAATAGCATTTATAGCATCTCTCTTCTTTCTGCTGGGTGCCATATTATTTAGACATGAATTATACTTCGTTGAACTTTAGATACATTATTATTTCTCATACACACCCGTTGTCTATCCACAGTGACCACTGGAAATTTGAAGAACGCAAGCTTCTACACCTGAACTCTCTCAGAGCACTTTCAATGCTTAAACTGTCCCTCTTTCCAAAATCTGCATTTACTGACACCTGTCATAGCTCAGTAGTACTTTTATTAAATATGGAATTAATATGTGTGCCTGTTCCTCTATGGTCTGTTTTAACATGAATCTTTTAACAACCAGCAGTTCAGTTGGCTGGATTTTTATTTTGGTAAGAAGCTGGGGCTTTTGATATGGCAATTAAGTATAAGTATTTTGATGCAAGTTAAATTACTGCTGCGGAATTTCTTGTCCCGGGAACAGGTGTTGTTTTGTGCTACTATAGCTTTACTATCGTTTTTTAACCCAAACACTGCTATTTTTGTATTTTAAAAGTGTTTCTCAAAGAAGCAATTCAAATTGAGTTGAATCAATGCAATAATTTAAATGTTGGGGTATTTTTTCTCTTATCTGTAGGTGATGAGTAGCATTTTCAGCTCTTCTTTTTGAGGTTTTATCTTGGAGAACCTTGATATCTGATATTCTCCAGGGAAATACTAGAGGTTAGAGAAGACAATGAAGGAGGGGATGTCGCAGGAAAAGAGTCAGAGATCACTCAGATCTGGGCTATTAGTTAGTTTATTGAGTTCTAATCAGTAAATTTAGGTATGTACAATATTTAATAAATACAGGGGGATTGGTGGTCAATACTCTACTACACTTAAAGTTAGTATGGGATACAAAGATTATCACTTAAGCTTACTATATGTGTCTTAAATGTTACATGCATGCAAAAAGTGTCACTTACCAACACATCCATGTCTGATATCAGGTAAGGGATCTGTCAGCCTCAAAGAGTAACCTTGAGAGGCATCACCCTGCTCAAGGGGAGAAGACTGCTGCACAACCAGCTGCTGTGGAGGGAGAGCTCAACGGACCCCTGGCTGTAGATATTTATAGTGTAAAGTGGTTGATTTGTAGTCAGCTTTTCTGCTATGCTCATGCAGTTGTGGCCATTTTTCAGCCCACACTCCAGCCAGACCATTCTGGGGGAGGATCTGGTGGTGAGTTCTCACCGATAGCCTCACACAATAGGATTAACTTCAGTTAGGCCAACTGTGGAGCATCTGCCTGGACCGAAGTTCCGTTAGTTCAAACAGGAGGAGTGCATCTGTCACAGCGGATGGCAAAAGATAAGAATGCACGGGGTCAAATTCTGCCACTTACAGAAATCCACATCCAAGAATTAACAGTTTGTGGAAGTGGAATCCCCTGTAGTAAAATGCTACAGAAAATCTCTTCTGGATTGTGGTTAAGATAAGTTCCTGTCAGTGTGTCCAAAAATGCACTGTAGTGATTGTAATTAAGAATGTAAAATTATATCTTCGATAAATCAGGAAAACATTAGTGAGATTACCACACTAACTGTTTTGCTATGAAATGGATGACTGAAGTGTACTAAATTTATTTTTGTTTTAAAAGACCTTAACTGGGACCTACTTGGCACAATTCTTTTATAACAGCAAGAACTTCCTTTTTCTGAAGAGAGTTCAATTTCAAGGTATCAAAGCACTTGAAATAGGTGGGAAATACTGTTCCCACTTAATAGATACGTATCTGGGATGCTGAAATGAAGGCACTGATTTGTAGTACCTTAAAGTTTGAGGTATCCTGACTTGATGTGGGTAGGATTTGACTTCTATGAACATAAATAATAAAAGGCAGTTATAAGTCAGGTGGTGGGTAAGTCTTGCTAAAATAAAAGTTTTCCAATTTTTCTTTCAACAGAACATGGGTTTATTGACTCATCTGAGCCATAATAGATCTGGGACAGATTTTAAAATAAAACTCCTCTCTGCTGTCTTGAGTCCTGTGAACACCCAGATTAGCTTTTACTGTAGACCCTGAAAAAAGATACCATTTCGCCAAAACAGACTCTTGACAGGTGGAGTCTTTTCCTCCTTGGGTGTGGGTCTCATCTGGCACCTTTTACGAAGTTTTCTTTTAGCCTAAAGATTGTCCCTCAGCATCAGTTAGGTCTTTCAGCTGCCATGGAAAGAGTCAGTAGAGGTGGCAGGCTTGGTTAATGTCTGGCTGGTATGTCCACTCGCTGTCCTTTGTAAAGGAGTAGTTGGGCTTAAGGACATTTTGCGTTCATTGATTACTAGTGAATGTTTTGATCATACATAAACATATACATGTGCTTGTAGGTACACAAGTACCTCTGTTCATGAACCAAAAGTAACTGTTTTATACACCAGCCTGTATTTTGCACTGGTAAAAATGTTGGACACGTAATTCTTCACTCAAGAAAATAAAAGGTTAGACAAGATTTGTTATTTTCTCTTAGTATGGATTCTGCTTTTTTCATTGCACCGGCAGAACCATTTTCATCTGCTACTTTTTTTTCTCCGTTTTCCTACTTTGTAGTAATGGCAAAGAAATTTTATAAGAAATCTTTTTTAACTCAAGAATTCATTGAGAACTGCAATTCACTCTAGCATGTAGTACATAAATCTTGCTTTAAAATGTTTTATATGTAGGTATGAATTTTTCAGCCAGGAAGATGTTCAGAGCAAAAAGGGCATGTAGGGTTCCAGTTCCCTGGAATTAGCACTACTTGAATTTTCAGAATATGAAAATCTCTCCACATATGTTTTAGTTTTGTAATATAGAAAACTAGTGTTTAGTATAAATACCTTAAATATTTTATAATCAAACTTATCCTTAAATATAATCAAACTGTTGTCAAGGAAGCAACGTTAATTACCTGTCTTTCTGTTATGTGTGTATCTTTGTCACTGGGACATAGAAGAACAATGCCACAAAGCCTCAGTTATTCCTAAACCTGCAGGGGTTTTGCTTGTTTGTTTGCTGTTTCAAATCCCAGCTATTTCAGGAGTTTCTCCCACATGTGAAACCTATCTGCTAAAGCTAAAGTCATTTTAAATTGGATCACATTTTGGTATCATTCCATGTAAGAATTTCAGAAAAAATATACTTGAAAAAGTAAGGAATAATAAAGAGTTGGACACAATTTCCCATTTTTAACACTAAAACAGTGAAACTTAAGTTGAAGTATGTGTTGCATGTCACAGTGCTAGAATTTTTTCCAAAGAATAATGATGCTGCATTTAGTTTCGAAGAGTTGTGTTTATCTAATAGGTGTGCAGGAATAACAGACAGTAACACACATAGTAACATAATAGGCAATGGAACTTTTTAAGAAGAAAATTACAGAAAATAATCTGATAAAAGAAAATTAGTTTATCAAGATAATCTTTTGACACATGAGTCCCTGCTTGATGCTTGATTATGTTGTAAGGATTGGATTGGATGATGTTTGTAAGGATTATTTTTTTTGGTGTATTCCTCTCCCTTCCTTCCCCCCAAAAATATTTTTCTAAAAAATTGAGAACTGTTGTTCTTTGTAGAATTTCTATTACGCTTCAGTGTCATCTCACTTTCAGCTGTAAAGCAAGAGAGAAATATTGGAAAAATAGCAACACTGTCTTAAAAGTAAGCTTTTCATCAGGACTATTGAAAACCTTAGCATCTAAATTCATATTAATATTTACTTGCTGTCAAAATCAATCATGCTCTGTGAAAAAAATTCATTCTTGCTCCCTTGTTTAATTGAAGATCTAAGTAATGAAGTCATCTGACATTATTAAGACTTTATGTTTAAAACTAACCAAGCATAATATGAAGTTTTTTTTTATTTTTAAATGCAGAACCACTGAAGCAAACATGAGATCTAGCGTACTTTTTTTTTTTGCTAAGTTTGGGGTTTATTATGATGTAGCGCATCTTGGTATTGCTGACTTTTTCATAGCGTGTCGATAGAAATTAAATAATATCCCACTTTGCTGACAATTTGTTGTTACTCTAAAATCAAATTTATATTCACTTTACATTCTAATTTATGGTTTAGTCATCAAAGTGACCACTGAAGTGTAAGGTTCATAAATAACTATTTGAATCAGCCTAGTGGGAAATGTGAAATAGTGACAGATTACTGTCATTTTGTTCATGTCAGTCACTGTACAATTTGCTGGAATGTTATAAAAGTAGCTTTATAAAGCTGAAAAGCATGGAGGAACATTAATCTCTGCCTTAGACCTCCTCTGCTTGTTATTGGTTTCGATTAAAAATTGTCTGGCTAAAGGAAGGAACAACTCTGATTCTGTTCCGAACAGTTTGTGAAGATTTTTTTTTTTGCGTGTGTTTACTGTGTAAACAGCACAATTTGTGGTGTCTTCCCTGTAAAGCAGGGCATTGTGAGAAATGCATTGTCGCA